GGGGCACTGGTTGTAATAACGTAGTCGTGAAAAAAAAAATTAGTTCCCTCCGGGAGCTACATGGAGAACACCAGTCCCGCATTTTAGAGCGCAGGCCTCAGGCGCCCGTTTCCGCGTATCGCGGCGTCGGCGTAACCGCGCTAAATTTAGCGGGAAAATTGATGTCACGTGACCTCAACACCAATTCAGTTTCCCCGCTAAATTTAGCGAGAAAAATGACGTCACATGACTTGGTGTCACGTCACCTATGAACAAATTCAGTTTCTCCGCTCGATTTTCCGGGAAAATTTACGTCCCGTGACCTCAACACTAATTGAACAGCAGTGACCTCAACAGCGGGGAATAGAATTACTCTTGAGGTCAATTTTTTTAGCTAAATTTACCGAGGAAACTGTGCCAGGAGGAGAAGGTATGGAGGAGGAGGAGGGGAGGGTACGGATGAAGAGGATGGGAGGGTACGCGGATGGAGGAGGAGGAGTAGGAAGGAGAAAGAGGGGAAAGTACGGATGAAGAGGATGGAGGGAGGAGTGGAGAGAAGAAGAAAGGCATACCCTGCCCTTCTCCTCAAGAGCTGCACTCTAATTTCGCGTTACAGAGATTTGTAAACGTCTTTCATTTTTGTTTTGTTACAACGGACCCTAAGTTATAGGTCACGTGACGTCATCTTTTCTGCTAAATTTAGCGGGGAAACTGCATTGGTGTTTAGGTCACAAGACGCGAATTTCCTACTACATTTAGCGGAGAAACTGAATTGACTTGGAGGCCACGTGACTTTAAGTCTTCCACTTGGTGTGAGGTCATGTGACGTTAGGTCCCGTGACGTAATTTTACCCACCGAATTTAGCGGAAAATTCACGGACGGAAAGAGGGACGGACAAAGTTTTGGGATTGAGTGTTCAAGTTTATTATCCTCAAACACTTTCGATCAAGCGTATTATATGAGAAGGGGAGGGGGGGGGGGGGGATTCAAAATCAAAAGAACTGAATACACTGGCAACAAAAACAAGTTTAAACAACAAACCTGAAACCAAATATACGGGATTATAACATCCATTATTTGAAGAAAAAACTGTGGTAATAACCGCAATTCCTAGAAAACGTGAACATATGGTGTTTAAAACAATATGCATGACAACATCGATGCCACTTTTCTCGAAATATGATTTCGTTAGTTTCAATGGCTATTCCGTTAAAGAGACAGTTCCAGTTTGCAATAGATAACGGAAGAGGGGACTGTTTGAATCTGTTGGTGCGTCCAATGATAGGTGCAATTTTTAAGGAGTGATCGTGATGCAAAGAAATGCATGCGGCAAGCTTGCAGTAAGTGAGCATGAACGATAACATGTTGTAATAAAACTTTAAAAAAAAAAAAAAAAAAGTGAGATGAGGTAGTTTGCGGCGTGAATCAGGGGGAGTTAGGTTAGAAATAGCCTTGAGTACCGATATACAGTTTTTTTATGGAATAATTACGATGAATGAAGCGAGAGCTTTGTTTTGTATGGACTCTAATCTGTACATGATGTATTGCTGATGAGGGTACCATATTGAGCTGGCATATTCTAATTTTTACCGAACGAGGGCTTTATATGCAGTAAGTTTAACGTCCTCTTGCGCTAAATTCAAATGCCTTCTAAGAAATCCAAGTTTCATTGGTGCTGTGTTAACTCTGTTATCAATCTGAGCATTCGAAGTCAGAACTATGGGTTATTTGGCTGGTGGTAATAAACCTTCAGTTGATAGTCAGCGCGTCGCCTGTCTCGCCTTTACTTAGCCCTTGTCTTGTCGCGCTGTTTTATATCAAGATGCTCTTCAAACAACCAGCCAAAACATACATTTTAGCGGAGAGAATACAAAAGGAAGAAACGCGGTGATTGAAACAATTTTAAAAAAAATTGCTAGGTCTTAGCAACGATGATATTCATTGGCCACGATAAGCACCATTCACCCAAGATGTCGATGTCACGTTGAAGAATCTCCGAGTCGTTAGGATGGGAGATTCGGCGGTACAGAGTGCAGTCGTCGGCGAAAATCCTTACGGATGACGAGATTAGTGAAGGTAGCTCATCTATGCAAATGAAAAACTAAAGTGCTCCAAGGACACTGCCCCGGGGAAGTCCGGTACTTCACCGACATGGGAGATGATGAGCTGCCATCTAAAAAAAAACAGACTGCTTCCGATCAGTAAGAAATGATGACATCCAACTGATAGCATGACTATCACTGTTTAGCTGAGGAAATTTCGGGAGTAAACGTTGATAAGGGACAGCATCATGATAAGAAACATCAACAAAAATGGCATCCGTAGTACAAGAATCATTAAAGGAAAGCCTGTCATGTTTTAAAAGCGCAGGATCACGCCGCATTTGGTGTGCCTGATTGGTTTAGACGGTGATACTGAACGCGCAAAGATGACGACCGCCATGACAGTGCACTTTTGGTGCCGCTTGAATGGCGCCATCGAATCCTACAACGTTTACTGCGTTTGGACTTAAAGGCCCATTGAAAAGAAAAGAAAACGTGTTTTTTTTTTAAGTCAAATTGGGACACGCGTGTCAAAAAAATTAAATTTATGCGAAAAAGAATTACAGCAATATTTATAGGCGGGAGATTTATTTCAAATTCTGCGAGCAAAGTCCATGACGTCACGGAATGGTCATACACTCTTTCCACCTCAACGAGATGGTCATACACTCTCTCCCCCTCAACGCGACAGCCAAGTCGATCTACCTTTGATTATAATGCAATTATATGCAAAGGTGCAAGCGAGCTGGACAAGAATGATGAAAATTAATTCCTGGAGAAGGGGAACAAGGGGGACAAACACAAATCTCCAAACACAGCTAGGTGACCGGTGCGCAGACTTGTACCGTACGCATTACAAGTAATCTAATTACTTGTAATCGATTACTTTTTGGAGTAATTTTGTAATCAGTTGATTACTTTTACTAGACAGTAATCACAACAGTAATCTGATTACTTTTTGAAGTAATAAAATTACTTGTAACCGTTACAATTTGTCCACGCCCCCCCCCCCCCCCCCCCCCCCGGGCACACACTTTTTTTTTATAAAACAACAAAAATAAAATTTTGCTTTTCTTTTTTTTCGAACGGAAAGACGAATGATTTTTGCTGAGCTGTAGGAAACGAGGTCAATTTCTTTCTATGTACAGTTTCTGTGAAATATCCGGGTTTTTTTTTTTTGTTTAGCTGGGACTGGGAGGGGGAAGCACCAGTGAGTGACAAAGGCCATTCAGGGCAAAGTTTGAGGAAGCAGAATGTAGCTTTGTGAGTCCTTCGTTCAAACTAGCCCCCTCACGCACAGACACACAGAAATAAAAAAAAATAAACAAAAAATCCTGCTTAGGGTACCTACTCGCGGCCAGTAGGAAAACCAGAACCGAAGAATGCCTAAAGCGGATGCAAAATATAACAAAGGCAGTTGAAATATTTCCCCATTTCTCCTACGTGGTCTTTGTGACAAGCAATGTTTCGAGTTGAGAAGTGGTCGGGGCGATCTCTTCCGCTAAGGATAGTACACATGATCCGCTTCAAATCCTGGAGCTGCTGCTCTTTGTATAACATGCGAGCTCATCCACATGTGAATAATAAAATGAGCGGCGCAAACTTTGAGCGACAACACTTGCTCAAGCTTAACAAGATCTAGAACCCCCTCCGCTCCCCCCCCCCCCCCCCCCACACACACACACACCCATACTGGTTAACGCCCAAATCATCAAGCGTCTTCAAACGAATTCTATGCTTGTGTCCGCATTGTGAAGGTGCAACGACCACGAAGAGGGAGCCAGTTTTTCTTCTTCAATGCTTGTGCAAATGTGAAATATAGGTTGGAAGTAGTTCATTGTTATGAGCGCTAAAGATGCGTCTTCACATAATAAAGTAATCGGAAAAGTAACGATTACTTCTTTAAGTAATGTCCAATTACTTTTTCCGTCGAGTAATCAAGTAATCTAATCGAATACTTTTTAGCCAAGAGTAATAGTAATTGTAATCGATTACTTTTTTTTAGTAACGTGTACAAGACTGCCGGTGCGCAACCGAAAAAATCCGCCTGGTCCGGGTATCGAACCCGGTACCTCTCCATTACAGGTGGAGCGCTGTGCCAACTGAGCTAGCCAGGGGTTAGACGTCGGTAGAGCAAACGGGTTTTATGTAGTGATGGGGCGGCGTCTCCGTCCCAATTAATGTCATCATGCTCACCGTTTTCGTCGCGTTGGTCGGTCATCACACACACGAGGCAGCTCCACCGGCTCCACGCTACGCCTGTGATATGCAAAAGCCCTCGGGTACTTCGATGACGCAAGATTGCAACGCGCTGAAGCCTCCAAGTGGAAAAGCTCGTAACTATACGGTACGCTTGACTCTGCATGACACGACGGCGCCAAGGACGCACCGGATCTCTCGAGACGCATCGCGCACTCAACGACTGATATTGAAGCGCTCGCCAAACTCCCGGGATTTAGAACGAAAAATATAGCCCTTTGTTCAAAATACAAGAAGGCGATTATCATTTACAGGTTCAGCTAATCCTATTCGACTTATTTATTGATGTTTTCTGCATATTTTAAGTTTCGATTCAGTATCCCTTTGAAGCCACTAGATCTGTATGTGTTTGTCTTACAAGTGCGTCAGATGCAACAATGCGCGAAAGTGGGGCAGTTGGAAGGAAATGGCGGCAATGCACTGAAATGAACTACCCTAGGAGACGGAAGCTAATGGTGGCGGATCACCCGCTCGTGGCACTTACCTTGGGAGTTCGGTGAACATAATTTTATAAAGGGGCTTTAGTGTAGCTTCCTCTGGAAATGCGCCCCCCCTTCACACACACACACACAAACACACAAGCCTTTCCCATTAATCCGCCCCTTCTCGAAGGACAGGCTGCTATGGCAGTTCCCCACCAGAGTTGTTCTAGTAACGCTGCTGAGAGGTAAACATGGACCATGTCATTTTATTATTTAAAATTTTCATAACCTTCCCAGTGCTTGGGCAACCACGAGTTCGACGACGGGCCCGAGGGTCTTGTTCCCTTCCTGAAAAAAATGGAAGCGGCAAACGTGGCGGTTTTGGGCACCAACCTGGAGACCTCAGAAGAACCGAGGATGAAAGAGATTCGGTTGAGAAGGTCCATAGTATACAGTGTCCAAGGGCAGAAGATCGGAGTCATGGGTGTAGTAACAACCGAGACAAGGACGATCGCGAGGCCTGGTCTGTTTGTTTCTTTCACACCATTGGTATAGCACGTAACACTTTAAGGTGTTCACTTGCCTCAACAATGTCAAGAATTTGGTTTCATGATAAAAATATTCGTGTCTGTTAACATTTCAAAAACTTTGCTGAAACAAGTCAAATATCTATAACGTGAAAAATATTTACATTGAACTAAGATTTGGTGTTTGGTTTTGTTTGTATGCCCTACATTCTGCGAAAACATAAACAAAAAGTACCGGCCAATGTGCGCACAATTTGACAGTGGCTTATGGTGAAGTAAGCGCCGTATAACTGCAACTTCTGTTGCTTATGAAACATCCTTTCCCAGCGTTATCTAAGTTAGGGGCCGAAAAACAAAACAAAACCAAACAGTTATGTTTCACTTACTAAACTGTTTTGTTCTTTTTCATCCATACGTGACTTAAAGTAGAGACTGAAACCAAAACTGCCAAAATAATTCGAATATGTACCCAGTCCAGAAGTAATCCTGGATTGCCGGTCGATGGCATAAGCGCGATTGTTGGCAAGTAATTACCTAGACAACCGGAATTTGCGTCGAAGCAAGTCCCAGCATAGCACCAGGTGTTCAAACGAACCTCGAAACCTTTATAAAAGTAAGCATTAATTTCAAGCCAACCAAATAAAAGTTAGCTTATTTTTATTCAGTTAATTTGATTATTGGGATGAGGATTCCTACCTAAGAGATTTTTCACAGTAATAAGTTGTCGTCGTTCTATGGTAGTGTTTATTACCTACACCATGCGAGTGAATGGGATCACTAGCTGTTTGAAGGGAGCGCCTAAATAGGTTTCTTAACTTATCACGCTAGGATTTACCACAGAGGGACCTGAAGGTGGTTGACCCTGTGTTTCAAAGTTATACGTCAAAAACTTACCTGAGCATTCAGTTAGAAATCAATAAATTAAAATTCCTACCCATCACTTTCATCTGCTAAGGAAAGCATAAATCCGAGATCCGGAACGCGCGATGTTTTTTTTGGTCTTGTCAATAAATACATAAAAATAGAACGACAATAAAAGCTAAACAAAAAAATAGATGCATTGCTATTGATGTGTTGCCGCCATCTGTTTGTTGACTGTTGCACCAATCACAGGCATTTTGTTTGCAGACGGACGCCGTAGGTGGGTATTTCAAGTTCTTGTTGTTGTTGTTGTTTTTTACTTTTTATTTTTGTAAGTTTGTTCAGCGAAATTTTGATACAGGAGATCCAGCACTTCCAGGCTCTTACGTGATAAATCATTGTGCGATACAAAAGAAACATATCTATGCGGTCCTTTCAAAAAGCCAGCGACCCCTTTGAGTTATGCGATACAACGTCACGAGCAAAGATGAACGTCCCGAAAATGCAATAAACACTTTCTAATATAATACCTAACAATAACGTCTGCACATTTCAGGTAGAGTGAAAATATTCGACGAGATTATAAGCATCAGAGCGGAAGTAAAAAGGCTAAGACAGAAAGGTGTACGAATATTTATCCTTATAAGTCACGTTGGCTACGCCAAAGACAAAGAAATTGCCATAGCGATTCCGGAGCTTCAGCTCATCGTCGGGGGACACTCCAACACGTTCCTCTATAGTGGTATGTATGATCTATGCTTGAGTGTGGTGTCTGTGCGCAGCTTTAGAAATTAAAGGGCCTCTGACAACCCCAACATCGATATTTGCGTTGCTCCAAACGGCTGTACAACGCTAGAGCGTACGACATTAGAACGCCGACATTAAGCGCGAAACACATGTACGACGAAACCGTCCGATCCGACTTCCGACCGCGCAATGCGACGGTCGGAGGCGAGGGTTTTCAACGCTCTCCGATGCTAAGAAAACCCTCGCCCCCCAAGGTCATTCCGGCAGTCCGCACGTCGGATCGGACGGTTTCGTCGTACATGTGTTCCGCGCTTTCGAGCGCCGACAGTAGAGCACCACGACGTTAGCGCGCGCGACACGAGAGCACAGCGACAATGGGAAGTTGTAGTAGACCGCGTCCGCTATTCCGCTATGCTCAACGCGACCGAAAACGAGACCCGAAATTCTGCAGCCAAGGCTAACGGCACGAGGTCGTTTCCGGTCGCGGTAAGCTTCGGTAAGCTTAGCGCGACGGTGGACGCGGTCTACTACAACTCTGCATTAGGGAGTTTTCGTAGATCGTTTTGGCCGTCCCGGCAACGCTCTCCGCAACCCGCTACAATAGAGAGTTTTAGTAGATGGTTTTCGCCGTACCGCAACACCCTCCGCAACCCACTACTATCCCCGGAACTCTACAGCCAAGGCCATCGGCGCGCAGGCGCAGTAGCGGCCTCTTCGTAGCGGAGGGCTTAGCGGAGGGGGAAATGCGGTCTACGAAAACTCTCTATTAGCGCGCGTGTCATCAGAGCTCCCGTAACGAGAGCGCACAAGTGGCCCGACCCGACCGACCACTTGTTCAGATATCGCGTGTTTTATGTGAAATTGGCGGAGATTTAAGGCGCGGCATTTAGCAAGGTCATTGCCAATGAGTCGACGACGTTTTCGTGTGTGACAAACCAAGACGTGTTACAAAAAGCAGACAGCAGCAAAAAAATGAATATCTGTAGCACCAATTTCCGCAGAAAAAAAACAAAAACATTACAGCTGACCTAGCTTCATCGGTTATTTGATTTTATTTGATAAAGTTCACCACCAACCTCACTATTTTTTTTTTAATTATCTTAAAACGTTGAAAAGGAAAGAAGCGACATATGATATAACATGCTTCCCCGTATTCTGGGGTTTTCAAGTTCAATTTCGCGAAAGGAGCTCTCGTGCCAAGTGTCATGCGCCAACCATTCATTTTGTCACAAATGACATTGTACTAAACGCTTAATGTGGGATGATATGTGCCGACAATGAAAATGAAATATGCGTTGATGTCAGCGTAGCAGAGGGATAGAGCGCTGGGCTGAGACCGACAGCATCCGGTGCGGCAGGCACAGTGGTCTCAAAGCTTCCATTAACCCCATTGCGCTCCAGAAAACTCTTGCATTGCTATCAGTCTGGATTCTGCAAGCAAAGCTTCTCCTTTTGAAACATGTATGGGGTAAGGGACACGGTACGGTGTTTAAATCACCTTTTGCGTCTGCCATCTTATTTAAAATGGGCAGCGGAAAGAAGTTCACCGGAAAACCGACCGGTACAAAAAAAAAAGCTCACCTTCGAAATCTGGGAATCAATATAACTTTAACATTTGGAACGCGGGTAGAAGTTTTGTTTAGGTTCCTATTTAGAACGCCCTTGTCCGCACTTAGCTTTTCGTTGATGCTACGTTTTCGATCGTGTATGTTCTCGTTGAACCCCAGAAGCTCGATTGCTTAGAAACCGATATTCCGGTTCGATGAGTCGCACAATTTTGTTCTGTCTGTGGAGCCGCAGGTACATTACACATTTTGGTGTGTTCGCTCAACTAGAGATGCGCTCTCGTGTCGTGCGCTCTCGTGACATGCGCTCTAATGTCAAGCGCTCTACTGTCGCAGCGCCCTAGTGTCGCGCGCTCTAACGTCGACGCTCTAGTGACACGCTTTCTAAAGGCGTTCTCCCGCTCCAAACGACCGAAACATGATCACCCCAGAAGTTTTAAGCGTGGAAATGCTGTATTTGCGCAAAAATATCATATATAATGACTAAAGAAAGCTACATATGAAACTCCCGCCTGAATTAAAAACCCAGTTGGCAAAATCGTGCTCTCCTCGCCTTTTTTTTTTTTTTTTTAATAACATCAAACTAGAAGCGTCGTTCGATTTTCTCACTTTTCTCGCACCTCACTGACATGCGTCATTTCCCTGCGTGCAGAGGACGCGTGACTTTTTGATTTGAGCATCATTCCTGAGCAATGTCTTAAATGATCGATCGAAAACGCCGTTTAAAGAGATGAGGCGAAAACGTTTTGTGTTGCAGATTTTGGTGGGAGACGTGAGAAAGAACTGATTATTGGTGACTCAAAAATTGCTCTCTTGAAATACGAAAATTATCTGGCATCAAAAGAAAAGAAAAATCTCGCCCGGGTTGACGCAGACTTTCCATCGTCCGCGTCCCTCTCAAGGTTGTTAACAGAGCCGACGGCCGCCAGTGACCGGGTCGTTTTATACATTACTTTTGAGTGGTACATTCAAACAAATTTTGTCGAAGGTCAAAAACTGACACCAGACGCCCGTTGCAGCCAGAGCGGGGACAAAGACAGCGTCAGTTGTGTCTCTAACCCCATCGTAGCCTATGGCGTTCTGTATGGGGCTCAAACTCGGCCTGTTGTGTATTTTTGCGTTTGTGATCCTAGACTCCTCTAACGGGGAGGCCCAATTCTTTGTAGTTCATGATGTTTAACTAATGCGTTCGTACTGGTTCTCGAAAATAATGCAACGTGCAAATAAATAATCCTAAAATTTTGTTGGTTTTACTGCCCCGCACCGCTTTGACGCAAACTCAATAGTAAAGGGCCGCTTACTCTATAACTTCACGCATTTCTGCCCGGCCTCGAGAGTGTAGCTCCTCAAAGCGAAGGATGTATTGATTTTGGTTGATTTAGGTAGCCCGGACAGTCAGCGAAACCACGAGGAGCTAAAGAGTAATGAAGCTTCGAACAGAACCATGGTAGATACTTTGATTCCATTAATAGAAAGAGAATTTATTTGTCGGAATCGACGTAATGTGTCTTTATTCAGTCGACTAGAATATGATAAAACGACAGCGAGATCCTGAAGACGGGAGTCTGCGGCGCTTTACAACAAACCGGTCGAAAGCTCGGTCGTTTCCAGCTTTGGCAGATTTGCACTAAGGTTGCTCATTGACAGTTCAAATGCGCGCTGCGCCTTGGCTCAACCTGTCACTGTCAAACAGGGCAGCAGGTCTCCAGTTCCAAGCACGTTCCCGACTGTATTATAGCGCCGCGATTTTTATATCAGGCAGTACTTTTATCTACCGATTACTCGAAGGCACGACCGTACAACGCCAGTACAAAATGCCGTTTATTTCTTACCATTTTTAAACATCGTACGCTTTCCCAGATGGCTGTATGAACGCTCACCGGTGATCTACACGCAGCAGCGTTTGCCCGCACGATACGAAAGCACTACGCATCCGGAGGAGGCGTGTTTTCGAATATGCTTCTTCCTGCGCTTACAGGTCGGAGCCCCAGGAAGGAGGACGTAATAGAAGGACCCTACCCTACAGTCGTGAAGAGAGGCGATGGAAGCTTCGCTCTGGTTGTTCAGGGTTTTTGGTTTGGCAAATACCTGGGCCACCTAAAGCTCCGGTTCAGCAATGATGGACGGCTGACTGGATGGGATGGGAACCCTATACTTTTGGATCCAAGCATTCAAGAAGGTAAGAACTTCTGTCGATCCAAATTGTTTTTTTTTTTTAATAGGGAATTTTTTTTTTGTATAAAAAGACTGTTAAGTAATAGCAGGAAGCGTGGTAAGGCAACCATTATTTAATGATCGACATAACTTAAATTTGGGTAAGACGGCGAAAAAAAGGGGGTGGGGTGCAAACTTCCGGTGCGCGACCGAATAAATTTCAAATTAAATGCATGCCCTGTTTTCAACATAGTCATTCCTTCAACAGCTGATATGCCAAGTCAAGACCACGTGTGTCCTATTGTATAAAAAGCGAAGGAAGGACTTGTTCCTTTACTTCATCCATTGCATTCTCATTTTTTTTTCCAAAGCACCGGTTGCTATTGTTTGTCAAACCAAGATTTAAAACGAGATTCGTGAATTTTTTTTATTTCTCTAATTCCCACAAATTACCTGAACTTAGCAATATCGATTTCAAAGAGTAAGCTACCTTTCGGTGTGCGCATGTTTCTTGTTTCAAGAACAAAACAAACTTTACATTAAAAAGCGGGCTACTTTTCAGCGCTGTGTACTCTTCCCGAATGTTACTGCAGACTGAAAAAGTGTCCCAGTACAATCTGGAGGACTTTAGCCGTTGCACGATGCACCCTCAGTCGTCACTCCGACTTGTCGCCATTCCACTTTCTCGGCGGCGTACCGGCACACACTTTCCGCTCATCAGATCATCCTAAAACGAAGCATGCAATACGCCGCGAGCCGAAGGGATCGATATGCCCTTTGAAGGGACCACATAAATGAATTTATTTTTTAACGTATCGAGCTACGATCCTTTAGAGGGGTGGCAGAAGATTGTACTTTTTTTTATAAAAATTAAGAAAGACCTTACCTGAGTAAATGATAAAAATAAAGAGCTTGAATTCGCTACCTACAGCTGTTGTTTGTTTATTTCGAGGTGAAGAGAAAGGAGGGAGCCAGGAGGATTTGTGGGCCTCCAGTCAGAGGCAAGTCGCTACCCGGCTTTTTGGGAGATGGATAAATAAAGGAAAGAGGAAGAAGAAATGGTTATGTACAAGTTTGAACATCCTATGCATTGTAGTCGAAACGCCAACGAGCTAGTTTAGAATTGTAGCGCCCATCTGCTAACAAAAGGCGTCTGATTGGCGTCTAAGATGATAGCGGCAGCTGTTTACATGACCAAAATAACCCCCCCAAAAAAAACCTCGCTTGTTTGTTTTGTGTCCAATCGGGATGTTTTATTAGTAAAAATAATAAAATAATTCGCTATACCTAAAACGCTGCCCCACATTTCACTCAAAAGAGTCCTTTTCTATTGTAACTGTCTTCGCTCTCACTCTTACCTGCCTCCATCTTTCGGCCGTTGGGCCAATCAGACGCCTTTTGTTCGTAGACGGCTGCCACAAGCAGCAAATCCACGCTCTTACCTTTTTTATTCTTTTTTTTTTTTTACTTAAATAAGCTCTTCTTTTATTTTTTTTATTTGGGCACACTAAGTTTATCATTTTTGGCCATCTCTGCGGAAAATCTCAGCTCAATATGTTGCAAACCAGTTTATGCGCTTTTTCCAAAGGGCTTTCGATCCCTTTGGCTCGCGCGGATTGTTTCACATTCATCTATAACATATAGACGCTTTACACACGCGCCAAATTACAGCCGCCTTTGCTGACCTTCTCTTGTCTTACCGAGATGTCGAGCAACTAAAACGTACGGTAGTTGACGATCTTTTACGAAGGCCGATGCTTTAGAAAAGGACACAGTTGAATCTAATATAGGGCAATAACCTGGCCTGCTATGGTAATGATGAAGTGAAATAAACGGAATAAGAGGAAACAAAAACTGAAGGTCAGTTATGGCGGCGTCCATGCACAGCTGCTGCAAAGCGTCTATATTCCAATAATTCGCACTGTTTACGAACAAGCGCCGAGATCTGAGATTCTAGTTTGTCCACAAAACACACGGGTACAACGAATCGCATCGATCTGCTCTACTTGTGCCATTCCGATCACGAAGCAGTCGCCGACTTAACGCGTTAAAACATGCGCAGAATTTAGCACATATATACTTTGAGAATATAGTCACTATCTGGACCTGGTAATTCGTTAGGTTCATTCTGCAGATAATGGTGATTGGCTGGGACCACGCTCTGTGAGAAATTGAGCGTGTGAGCTTTGCCCATAAACAGTGCAATTATCGGAGCGGATACGATGTTTTCAGCGCCCACAGACAAGGTACAGCCATAGGAGAAGAACGCACTTGCGGTTAGGGCACTGATTTCTGGTTTTACGTATAACGAAAATTATTGACCGAATGCGACGACAGGTCATTGACACGCTATAGCAAAGTGTGGTGTCTGGAGACCCGGAATGGAACGACCACACTTGAGCGCAGCTGCCACGAGACTCTGTTTAATCTTTTTGGTAAAGAAGAGGAAGTAGAAAGGGCAAAGGACATAAGAAGACGAAGTGACTGGAAAGTAATTAGCTAGAAGATACAACATTTTCCCCCCTCCCATTTTAAGAAAGTAACTAAAAGACAAAGCCTAAAGAAAGTAATTGAAGGGGTAAAAATAAAGAGGAAGTGTAAGAGAAAGATTCACATAGAAAATCGAAAATAAATCGAAGAGAAATAGAAATGCTCATATACAAAGTCCAAAAGTTATTCATCTTGAGACATAGTCCCCAAACCTCACGGGCGGTCGTCGTTCCCGCCGTGGTCGATCTGGCCATGGCACATCTCCCGCTGGACCCGGCGGAGGTACCGATAGAGGTCGGTTCCCAGTTGGCGATGGCGGCTGAGAAGCTGACCTCGTCAGTTGTCCGTATGGCGTTGGAGAACCAGCTGATGTCCGTGGCGTCTGCTGGTCATGCTGGCTCCGCCAGCCCAATGGTGCAGACGGTGGTTGCCATTAGTGATGGTCGGCTGACCTTTGACTAAACTTGCCTGTTGGTACCGGGTTTCTTGGGTCCAAACCAGAGGAAGCCGGTCCTGGAACTGCCGTTAGCTTAGAGGCATTCCATATTCTGCCATCTTCCAGCCGAAATGTCCAGCGGCCCACACGCTCGACAATCCGGAAGGGACTGCTGAAGGCAGAGGATCCTTTCGGAACAGATTCGGGCTTCTTCACTCGGACCAGCTGTCCGACCTTGAACTTCGGTGTTCTAGCTCCTCGCCTTCTGTCGGTGTAGGCTTTGGTCTTGTCTTGTTGTTGTCGAACACGTCGACGAAGTCGCTGCACTTCCTCGAAGGGGTTACGAAGAAACTCTGACGATGAGAGTCCTAGAATGTTCAATCGCGTTCGGGGTTTGCGACCATGAAGTAGCAGAGCAGGAGATAGCCCTGTTGTCGTATGAGGTGTGCATCTGTATATGCCCAGGTAATCAACTACAGCAGATTTTATCTGCCGTTTCTCCCTCGATGCACACTGGATGAAACCCTTGAGTGTTCTATTAAAACGCTCAACTTGCCCGTTGGCTTGCGGGTAGCAGACCGAAATCAGATGATGTTTGACTCCACGAGAACTTAAGAAGTCTTTGAATTGTTGAGAAATGAATTGGGGACCGTTGTCGGACACTAGGCTCTCTGGTAAACCTTCTCTGGAGAATACCAGATGCAAAAATTTTGTTACCCTTGAGGTGGTGACATCTGCACAAAACTGCACTTCTGGCCACTTCGAAAAATAATCAACCAGGGTTATGGCGTAGCGGCATGGTGGTTCTGCACGCTCAAAAGGGCCCACGATGTCGATTCCTACCTTCGACCACGGTCGCTCAGGGAAAGGCACTGGTTGAAGCGGAGTGGAAAAGGTCTTCGCGCTTTTGTCGGCCGCTTGGCAGATGTCACAAGCATGAATGACGTTCTCCACTTGAGCGTTCATTTTCGGCCACCAGTAGAGCTCTCGGAGCCTCGTACGGGTTTTGACGATCCCGGTGTGCCCCTCGTGCACCTTGGCGATGAGAATGCCTTGCAGCTCTTGAGGGATCACGAACCGCTCATCCCTCAAAAGAATGCCATCATCCACGGCAAGGTCATCTTTAAGCTCATAGAAAGGGATGAGCTCGGAAGACAAGTTCCGTCTTGAAGGCCACGCAGATGTATGTCATGGCAGCAGACAAAACCGAGTCATTGGCTGTAGCTTCTTGAAGCTGCAGCTTGGTGATGCATTCGTTCTGCAATGCAATGAAGGAAATTATTTCTTTGTCAAATTCGGTACCGCCTTCATCCTCAGGCTGAGGGAGGCGAGAAAGTGCGTCGGTGACCTGATTTTCCGCTCCGCGTTGAAACTCGACTTGAAAGTTGTAGCAGAGGAGACGGGTCGACCATCTCGTAATTCGGAGGGTTCGATGGCCTGTACTCCGTGTTGCTAGCAGCGTCATTAAGGCTTGATGGTCCGTCCGAAGGGTGAAACGGCGGCCCCACAGGTAGTTGTGCCACCGCTCACATGCCCACAGGCATGCCAGTGCTTCTCTTTCACCCACCGAATACTTTCTCTCTGCTGCTGTTAGTGTGCGAGAGGCGAAAGCGATGGTCTGAACTTCATTCCCATTGCGCTGCTGGAGCACGGCACCAAGCCCGTATCCAGACGGATCGGTGGATACGATAATGGGAAGACTGGGGTCAAACATCTTGAGAACCCTTGCTGAAGATAGCATTGTTTTGATTTTCTTGAAGCTGGTGTCAGCTTCGGTATCCCAAATGAATGGAATGTCTTTTCTCAAGAACTTGCGCAGGGGCTCTACTTCTGCGGCTAGACGAGGAACAAAACGGCTGTAGTATTCTACCATCCCAAGGAATGATCGAAGTTGCGAAATATCTGTTGGGATGGGAGCTGCGTTGATGACGTCTACGTTTTGTTTAAGTGGGGCGATTCCTTCGCCGCTGACATGATGGCCTAAAAATGAAAGTTCGGCAACGTCAAAAACGCACTTGTTGTTAAGTTTGAGTCCACCATCAGCGATTCGCTGGAGGACACGGCGCAATCGCTCCAGGTGTTCTTCTCTAGTCCTACCA